GGTGAAAAATCTGTCGATGTGCCTTTAAGCAAGGCACTTAACCCTAATTGCTCCTGTAAGTCGCTCTGGATAAGAGCGTCTGCTAAATGACTAAAATGTAAAAATGTAAGCCGGTTGAGAGAATGCCAAGAGTGTGCAAAGCTGTCATCAAGGCAAAGGGTGGCTACTTTGAAGAATCTCAAATATAAAATGTTTTGATTTGTTAAACACTTTTTTGGGTTACTACATGATTCCATGTGTGTTATTTCATAGTTTCGATGTCTTCACTAATATTCTACAATGTAGAAAATAGTAAAAATAAAGAAAACCCTGGAATGAGTAGGTGTGTCCAAACATTTGACCGGTAGTGTATACTAATGGAGACGGTGTCGTTTTGACCATAATCTGACTGTCTAATATTACACCCTCAGTGTATTTTGATGACAACACAAGTTTTTAAAGAATACATATATACGGTCAACGACTGATCCAATTAGATGATATATGTATTTAGTTAGAATTTCTCCTTCTAAAAGTTGAATAAGTACGTTTTTATCTGGTGCCAGATTTCATGGTATTTCCTCAGATTAATCTAAAAGCTAGTGTGATTTCTGGATATTCTATTCCAATTCATTTGGCACTGTCCATCTTTTCTCGCATAGAAATGTCCGTTAGCAATTTGTGGGGCGTGTCAATCCAAATGCATGAGATTCATTAGATAAGTACCAAAAGCAAACTGCAGTTTACGCGCCAAAGTCATGAAATGAATCATAGTTAATAAGGTAGATCGGTATAGCTACAAAAGCTGTCGGTATTTATGGACTATAACTAGAGCCTCTTCCAGATATCAAGTGTTCACAATAAACTGCTCATCCTTCAGTTCTGTGCAGTGGAAAATACACAATATTTTACTTTTTTACTAATAATGTCTTGCTACATTTACATTTACATCATTTAGCAGACACTCTTATCCAGAGCGACTTACAAATTGGTGCATTCAACTTATGATAGCAAGTGGGACAACCACTTTTTGTCTTCTTTTTTTTAATGGGGGGGGGGGGGGGGGGTAGAAGGATTACTTTGTACTATTCCAGGTATTCCTTAAAGAGTAAGCTAAGGTAGGTATTGCTAAGCTGCAATGTTCAGTGCAAACACAAACAGGATTGTGAAAATCGATAAATCATGAACGTTATGCTTCTTCAGGTAAAACTCAAACCCGCATCTCTATTAAACCAACCCTGAAATACTGTGTTCAATCGTACCCCCATCTCCATTAAACCAACCCTGAAATACTGTGTTCAATCGTACCCCCATCTCCATTAAACCAACCCTGAAATACTGTGTACAATCGTACCCCCATCTCCATTTAACCAACCCTGAAATACTGTGTTCAATCAAACCCCTCTGATAAAGAAAACAACATAACAGTGATAACAACATATGAAGTGAGTAGGATCTGATTCCCCGTTTAGCAACAAATACAGTGTTGAAGATTAAGTATTCCTCTGTGGCATTAGTAGAGATACCATCTTGTCAGTCAGTAAGCAATGAGCTCACGTTGACTCCCTCAGGGTGATCCAATAACAGAATATATGGAAATGGGAGGTAGTGTAATGATGGGGAAGGATGGGGTGACTACTGGGGGTGGCAGGTAGCGTAGTGGTTAAGAGCGTAGTGCCAGTAACCTAAAGGTCGCTGGTTCTAATCCCCGAGCCGACTAGGTGAAAAATCTGTTGATGTGTTCTTGAGCAAGGCATTTAACCCTAATTGCTCCTGTAGGTCGCTCTGGATAAGAGCGTCTGCTAAATTACTAAAAATATATATGTTTAAAAAATACTCTGGGTATGTGGGTTGTTAAGAGGCTTTGATAATATATTTTATGTTAAAAAACAAATATCTGCATTATTCCAACAAAATTGTCATGGCACTGAATGATAAAGAGAAAATACATTTATATTTCATTAATTGCACCCATCACCCTTTATACTGCTTTTTATCTGGATCATTATACAGGGGTCCTCTGGTGTTTATCTGGATCATTATACAGGAGTCCTCTGGGGCTTATCTGGATCATTATACAGGAGTCCTCTGCACTGAACATTGCAGTCTCCCGAGTGGCGCAGTGGTCTAAGGCACTGCATCGCAGTGTTAACTGTGCCACCAGAGATCCTGGTTCGAATCCAGGCTCTGTCGCAGCCGGCCGCGACCGGGAGACCCATGGGGCGGCGCACAATTGGCCCAGCGTCGTCCAGGGTAGGGGAGGGAATGGCCGGCAGGGATGTAGCTCAGTTGATAGAGCATGGCGTTTGCAACGCCAGGGTTGTGGGTTTGATTCCCACGGGGGGCCAGTATAAAAAAAGATACAAATTAAAAAAAAGTAAAAAATAAAAGTAAAAAAAAGAAAATAAAATAAGATCTATTCGCTAACTGTAAGTCGCTCTGGATAAGAGCGTCTGCTAAATGACTAAAATGTAAAAAAATGTAAATGTTTATCTGGATCATTAAACAGGAGTCCTCTGGGGTTTATGTGGATCATTAAACAGGAGTCCTCTGGGGTTTATGTGGATCATTAAACAGGAGTCCTCTGGGGTTTATGTGGATCATTAAACAGGAGTCCTCTGGGGTTTATGTGGATCATTAAACAGGAGTCCTCTGGGGTTTATCTGGATCATTATACAGGAGTCCTCTGGGGTTTATCTGGATCATTATACAGGAGTCCTCTGGGGCTTATCTGGATCATTATACAGGAGTCCTCTGGGGTTTATCTGGATCATTAAACAGGAGTCCTCTGGGGTTTATGTGATAACATATTGTCAATCACTCAGCAATAAGCTCAAACCCCTCAAGGTGATCCGATAACTGAAGTCTTGGGAATGGGAGGTCCCCTGCTCAAGTCAAGTTGGGAATGGGAGGTCCCCTGCTCAAGTCAGTTGGGAATGGGAGGTCCCCTGCTCAAGTCAAGTTGGGAATGGGAGGTCCCCTGCTCAAGTCAAGTTGGGAATGGGAGGTCCCTGCTCAAGTCAAGTTGGGAATGGGAGGTCCCCTGCTCAAGTCAAGTTGGGAATGGGAGGTCCCCTGCTCAAGTCAAGTTGGTGAATGGGAGGTCCCCTGCTCAAGTCAAGTTGGGAATGGGAGGTGAGAGTTAGTGTAATATATTACTGTCCAAACCATCACATTATTCAACCATATTTCCATTGCGTGAGTACAAAAAACTTTA